CCCCAATCCCCAAAACCCCAAAACCCCAAAACCCCTGTCCAAAAAAATAATTGAAATTATAAAATTAAATATGAGAACTAGACTACTAGCCATACTCCTCATAATCGGCCTGCTATCTTTCAGTAAGTGTGAGGACGTTCAGATTGGAGGTACTGAGGGAGATTCGCAAGGCGAATCTACTAGTATCAACAAATGAGATCCTGATCTTCCCAATCTGAGCGTAGGAGATCATAACGTCACAGAAGATTTTGACCTCAAATATTACCAAGACAAGTTCGAAGTCTTCATCCTCGCAGTAAGTGACTCAGATTGAGAAGAATGCTGCCATACAGAAGTTATGCTAAAAAGCATCCATGAGAGCTTAGCCAATAAATCTGTTGGGTATAAAAATATGGAAATCCCAATTATCAGGATGGATTTTGCAAAATTCAAAGATACTGTAGCTCCTGAAGACCTATTTGTCAACAGAGTTCCAAAGACCTTTGTCTATTTTAAACATAAGTACCATCCTTTCGAAGAGTTTGACAATGAGAGGCTCTTCCTTCATTTCCTGAACAGGTTGTTCTACCCAGTGGTCATCTTGAAGACCAAGAAAGATGTGAATAACTTTTTGAAAACAGACAAAGAATGGATTGAAAATACTCCATTCTACAATGGCAACTATATTTCAATAGGAGAGTTCCTTCCACAGTACACGAAAATTACACGTGTTATAGCATTTGTATCTGAGAAATCTGAATACAAGGAAGAACTAAAGACTCTTGCAGAGGATGCGAGAGATCTCAGCCTCAGAGAAGACCTTAGAATCGCCAAGATTACTAATCCCAAGATAGTCTCCGAATTCAAGGATAAGCATGAAGAGTGGTTTGGCGATATGTCTTCAAACTCAATAGTGGCTGTTGTTAAAGATGCAGATGATAAATCTGCCAGAAGTGAGTATTATGACCTCAGTATTGATACTGAGCTGTTCCCCCTCTGGATCAACAGAGTTAGTCTACAGCCTGTTGAGTTGCTCACTGGTACTTCGATAAAGATCATCAACATGAACCAGAAAGCGATGTTTACTGCTTTTATTAATAAAAAGAGCTCCAAGATTGGCAAGAAGTCAAAAGACTTGGTGAAAAGATTGAAAGAAATTGCTAAGGATTATCCTCATTATCAGTTCACATACACTGAAGAAAGCACCTTCAAGGAGAAGAAGGCCGATATTGGAATCACCTGGAATGAAGAGCCAGCCTTAGCTTACTTCAATTTCTTAAACCAAGATAAGAAAATGGTTTTCCCTCGTAAGCAGCCTCTGAGTAAAAAGAATCTTAAGGCCTTCTTTGACGCATGTTGGAATGGGAAAATCGAAAACAATGAGCTTGACCTGCCTGATAAAATCAGAAACTTTGATAAAAACATGAAGAATGCTACAAAGCTTACCTTAGACAACGTAGATGACTTCCTCAATGCTGAGCATAAAGACAAAATGGTACTAATTTTCGATTCCTCCAAGGACTTTGACCAAGGCAAGCGAGTATCCCAATTCTTTGGCAAGGCAGCTACTAGATTCTTCGAACTTGAGCTTCAAGGTATTTTTCCCATTAATCTCTCTAGATAACATCACATTGGGATTCTTTGATACAAGCTTGCAGAGTTTGCCAGACTCTTTGGAGGAGTACACAGACCAGCCATGATATGTCTTCTTCCCATACGATAAAGAACCAATGGAGCCAATCCCTGCTGACAAGTTTGTTGTCCAGAAGATGATGAAGTACATCAACAAGCATGCGCATACTCATTTCGAACTGTCCACATTTGCTCATATGTCCCCGCACGAGTACTCTCAGAATAAGCTCGGAAAGAAGGTCACTGCTGATCATGTTATCAAACTAGAAGAAAAGAGAAAACTTGCTGATAAAGATAGAGATGCTATGTATGAAATCAAAGATGATCTTTAATTTCAATATCTGAAACTCAATTTAGAACAGTCACCCTGGGGTTTTGGGGTTTTGGGGTTTTGGGGGTTTGGGG